TAAGTTAAGTGTAATTAAGTGTTTATAAAAATTGTTATTATATCAATCCTTAGGTGTATTTTGTATTTTGTGCTGGTCTGAGTTTAGTTTGTTCAGTGAAAATTCAAAGGCAGGTTGGTTTCTGGGATATATCATCGGACTGGAGATGTGACCGGACTTGACTAGACCCAGACCAGACTCTCCGGTCTTTCCATACATGGAGCAAAAATCACGTCTCCGGAGGCCCTTCCTCTTCTTCTACACATTTTCATAAAACTGTTTTGAACGACATATTCAGTCTGAGTCAGGGACAGAGAGAGGACTTAGCAGAGAACCTGGGAGTCCTCTCATTACATTTTCAGGCCTGGAGCGACAGTTATAGCTCAGATAATAAGGTTCGACAGGGATATATAGGAGCTCAGAGAGTTTTGTATTAGTATCATAATTTGTAAAGATAATTAAATATTGTTTATTTGAACTGTTGAATATCTTAGTCTACTTTTCTGGTCATATTCTGAATAACGTCCACAAAACCATAATAGCAGAGAACAGAGAGTTGTTGTCCGTCAAAAAGCGATATTTCTTCCCAAATGGCCAGAGGATTATATCTGTCGTGCACAAAAAGTTATGTTGTTTACTATTCAAAATGTTGGAATAGATGGACTTCAGTTAAATGTTGGTAAGACTTTTACTAAACTTGCCCTCACTTGTGCAGAAGACACACAATGGCTGACATTTTGGGCTGAACTCATGTCCACATTTTAGACTCAAGCTTTCTCAAAATCCACATGGAACATGTTGTCCATTTTGTTCTGCTTCTGACACATCAACTTTGAGGACAAAATGTTCACTCTCTGCTTGAAATGAAGAGATAATCTATGTTATTTAATCCAGTTCACTTCATTTGTCGGGACACTTTAGTCACTTTCTAAAGTGTTTTAAATGTATTCAAATCTGAATCCAACCTGGATCATTACTGTGTTTATCAGAATATAGTCCTGGGTGCTGCGATGACTGACACTCAGAAAGGAATGAAGGGGAAGAAGATGATCAGAAGATATAAGTCTCACCAGCCAAAAATGCATAATAAAGATGGAAAAAACATATATAAGTCGCATTTTTTGGGGGAAATGTATTTGATCAAATCCAACACCAAGATTCGATACAATACAATACAATTTATTCTTGTATCGCCCTAAATCACAACATTATCATCTCAGAGACTTAACAAAACCATTGAAAGTACGACCACATTAGTCCAGTCCTCAGGTCTCTGCACTGGCTTCCTGTGGCTCAGAGAATAGACTTTAAAACAGCTCTGCTTGTGTACAAGTCTCTCCATGGCCTCGCACCAAAATATATTAGTGACATGTTAGTCCCATATGAACCAGCCCGGACTCTGAGGAGCACAGGGACTGGACTCCTGTTAGTGCCCAGAGTCAGAACTAAACATGGGGAGGCTGCTTTTCAGATTCATGCTGCTAAAATCTAGAACAATCTTCCTGAAGATGTGAGACAGGCCTCCTCTCTGACAATGTTTAAAACCAGGTTAAAGACAGTTCTGTTTAGCTGTGCATACAACTGAGGGATTTTATATCTTTATCTTTCTTTTTAATGTTCTGTGATTATTTATGATTTTAATGCTTTCTTGTTTTGTTCAGCACTTTGAGTTGCCTTGTGTATGAATTGTGCTATACAAATAAACTTGCCTTGCCTTGCCTTGAAATCACCAACACAGATCAGAGAATCAACAGTTAAAACACAAAATATACACATATGTACTGGTCCATAAGGAGAGACCAATGTCCATGAATGTTGATAAATGTCATACATGTTGTAGAATATTAAATTGTCCTGAATCATCACCACGGTCCTTCTTGTTAGACGCTAATTGTCCAACAGACCCTCCTGCAATCTTGAGGCAATTTAAACTAAAAACAGAATAGAGAACAACAGGCTGAAAGTCAAGTGGACGCATAATCAACGAACTGGGAACGAGCCTGGTTTGTTAACGTTGTAAATTACATGCTGCAGGTTCACCGAAGAATCAGTGTCACTCCTACTCACTAAAGTCACACATTAGTCGCTCCCCCGGCCAAACTACGACAAAAACTACGACTTTTATTCTGAAAAATACAGTATATCTCACAGTAGCGCCAGGAAACAAGGTCGCTCTGCAGAAGGAGCCGCTGGTGCCAAGTGTTTATACAGACCACTATAAAGTATTGATTACTGTCTCTGAATCTGTCTCTGTGGAGAATAGGATTATGGGAAAAAACCCATAAGACAGCATTTTAATCTTTGAAAGTCTGAGCTTATACTGTGAGTTTATAGATGAAAAAAACCCGTAACGCATTAAGTGGAAACCAAAGTGTGGCCAGTTATGGATTATCAATGAACTTCATGGTTTTTCTCACGGCAAAGGGTATAAATTGTTTTGTTGTGTGACATTGAACTCTTCGTGATGGGGAACCCGCCCTGTTTCTTTAAAAAACCCATTGTTTAATTCGGGCGTTCTGCTCTCCCAAAATTCCATCCGATGGGCGGGGGAGCGACTGAATTTTGCGTTGCATTATGGGTAACACTTGCCTTCGCAACTTCCGGTTCTCTCTGCCCGGCGCATTTTCTCTAAATGGTTGAGTGTTTTCGTCATTTTCTGTATGCAAATACATTCCCGTCTCTAACTAGTGGCATATCGCGCAAATCATCCGTCCAATTCACATTCTTCCCTCTTAGCTGAACTTCATTCTCATTGTTACCATCTGTCACTCGCACACACAGCCGTTTTCGTTCACTCTGCTCGCTGTCATCTTCTTCTAAATCTTCATAAACACCATCCGCTCGTTGAACTAGCAACAACAATTCCTCCTTTCGTTTTCCCACACTGCAAATACCCTTTCGCTTCAACCTTTCACGCAATTCAGGCACTGTCAATCGTTTGTTGTTTTCGTGAGCCATATTCGCCATTGTATGAAATCAACCGGAAGTGAACTGGGCAACAAACGGTGTCATTTTTTGATCACAGCGCCGCTCAGTGGATGAAATTTTGGGAGAGCAGAACGCCCGAATTGTCATCCTGAACTTTTTTACTTCTTAAAACATTTCTATAAATCTACACTTTAATGCTACAAACTCTGCTTATTTTCCTCCCGCTCTAGCTCCTCTCTAGCTCCGCTTTGATCAGTAGCTCTGATTGGCCGAGCCCCTCTGTGCACGTGCATGAGAGCCACACACGCATATTTGCCGCAAAGCATCATGGGAGCTCGTCCATTGCACAGAACCGGGAGGACCAGACGATGCCCAAATATAGGCCAGTTCCGCTAATCTCCCGCTCCCCGTAAAGTCCCATGAACTACTGAGCACAAGCCATTCGTTTGAGTAGGACGCCATCTTGGATCATCGGGGCTTGGTTTATAGCAAGAACAAAAACTTTCTATTCTCCCTTTATTGTTTCAAAATCCACACACCATGGAGTTGTTGTCGTATCTTTCTTCATCTTGTTTTGCAGGGGAAAAGTAGTTCATTTAGAGATCCAGACTATCACTTTAACGAGCAGAGACTCTGGCAACAAATGGTTTAGATGTATTTCTAGCAAGAACAAAAACTTCCTACTGTTCCTTTATTGTTTCAAAACGCACACGCCATGGAGTCATTGTCGTGTCTTTCTTCATCTTGTTTGCGGTGGAAAAGTGTAATAATAATGTGCAATATCTCTGAATAATTTTCTCTTTGTCTCACCAAATCTAGTTGAAATGTCAGCGTCTCAATATGCGCTGTGGTTTTTCAAAGATGTAGGTGATTTATACATTAAAATCTCTGTAGGAAGTCTGCCATTTGCATTTCAGAAGTATACTTTATGATGCTGCTTCATGAATACATTTATTTTTCTGTATTCATCAACCAGACACACACACACGCACACATCGGGCTCGCTCAGAGGAAGCCAACACTACCTTGTTGTTGTAATGCATCACAACCACAACATCACACAAACACACTAACAATAAAAACTTAACAAAAAAGCTTTGTCCTCACACTGTTACATAACTAAACACACACACACGCACTGACTCACTCTCTCAGACACACACACACACAGCTACTCTTGCTTACACACACACACCCTCTCTCTCTCAGACACACACACACACAGCTACTCTTGCTTACACACACACACCCTCTCTCTCTCAGACACACACACACAGCTACTCATGCTTACGCACACACACACACACACACACACCCTCTCTCTCTCAGACACACACACTTACTCACTCTCTCAGACATACGCACACACACACAGCTACTCATGCTTATACAAACACACACACACACAGCTACTCATGCTTACACACACACTCACTCTCTGACACACACACACACAGCTACTCATGCTTATACAAACACACACACACACACGCTCTCTCAGACACACACACACACACACACAGCTACTCATGCTTACACACACACTCACTCTCTGACTCACACACACACACAGCTACTCATGCTTATACAAACACACACACACACACGCTCTCTCAGACACACACACACACACACAGCTACTCATGCTTACACACACACTCACTCTCTGACACACACACACACAGCTACTCATGCTTATACAAACACACACACACACACACGCTCTCTCAGACACACACACACACACACACACATACACGTTTTTGTTACCTGGTGGGTCCCTTTGACAGGGCCGTTCAGAATGGGACCCATAGACATAATCTTTTTTTACCAAGACTTTAAGTAATACAAAACAGTCAATAGAAACCAAACAACTATTTTAAAGGAATTTTATTTTAGATTTTGTTTTCGAATTGCAGTGATTCTATTTTTGACATAGAATTTAATGCCACTCCATGTCCGATGTCTAAGGTCATCTGGTGAGGCATTAATGCAGGCCAGGCAGTGAGACTTCCCAGGGACCTTTCCAGTCTGTATGAAAGGCGTCATGGTCTTCTCCACAGCCTTCACCTCAGATGCAGACCATGGCTTTCTTACACGTTCTAGGGAGAGAAATAAAAATATATTAGCGATATACACTCCCAGGGTGAGGACCAAGCAGCCTGGCTGTAATCCCCCACCTGGTACACTTACCAGAAGGGGCACTGCCACTACCATGGGGTGCATCTGGATGAATGGTTGAAGGTTCTCCGCTTGAAGTTTCTTTTAGCCCGTCCGTTTGTGAGAGGATCTCTACTGCTCTCCCTGTCGCACAGAAAATAAAAATACAAGTGGCCTTTAGGGGAAAAAAATCATACATATTTTAATAATATCAAGAATTACCTTCAGGCTCAATTTGTATCTGGTCGAGGCTCTTTCCTTCGAATTCCGTCACTCTTCCCTGCTCCATGGCCATCAACACTTTGCTGATTTTGGCCAGCTCCAGTGTCCCCTCTGGTAGTCTGTAATATTGCCTGTGGATGCGAATGTCATGGCCGAGGAAGTTGGCAAGTATGTCCATCTCATTCTCTTTCATATTGAGAACTGTAGACATAGTAGCTATGTGCTTTCTAAGTTTGGTTGAGGATAGCATCTCTGGATGCACCGCACCACATTCTTTGGCTACCTGGCGTAGGGAGTCTGATCCCCTGATGTGGGTGTCTGCGCCCGGGCGGGAGAAGAAGTATGGGTTATGGTCAGAGATGGAACAGGCCCTTCTGTTCTCCACCAGCACCTCCATCGAAGCAATCATTTCAGGAGTCAAAAGAACCGGCACTTTCCGACTTCTTTTCCCTTTAATTTCAATGCGTTGAAAATGCTGACACAGCTTTTTCTCAAGTTGGGACAGTCCCAGAGCAATGTCAGAATGGATCCCAGTCTTACTTCTTAAGGTAAAGGCTGTCAGTGGCATCTTTGAAACCTCACCAGTAGATAGTATTGACGGCGGTAGAGAGCAAGTGGTGAAAAGGTGGTACTGCACCCTAAAATCCCCAGAAAGGGGACGGCGCTCTTGAGCAAGTGGTGAAAGGTGTTACTGCACTTTGTTTTTCAAAGAGTTAGCTTCTGTTGGCCTGTGTGTGTGTGATAATGTTTCACAGTTGTCTAAAGTGATTTATGATCACGGTGTATTCTAAAACAAGCAGTTAGGTCAATAAACTAATTAATCTACAGGTCCTCCCTGTTAACGACACGTGTGTGTGTCTGATAGTGATGAGCGGTTGGGAGGTCGTACTAGCAACAAATCAGAATGGGTGGGAGGTCTATTACAAGTTTTTCAATGGTTCAAACGCATTACGGCTGTCTAAGAGTGTTTTTCATTGCTGATGCAGGATGGGTTTGTTACACAGTTATTGAGAAACTAGAAGGACTGTGGTGATGAGCCAGGACACTTTTAATATTCTACAACATGTAGTGGTCTATAGTCTTTATGTGTTTTAACTGCTGATTCTCCGATCTGTGTTGGTGATTTTCAGTAGTTTTTGGTAAGTCCTCTGAGATGACTACAGTTGTGATTTAGGGCTATACAAGACTAAATTGTATTGTATTGTATAGGTGTTTTTTTATTTTTTTCTGTAACAAGAGGTACTGCATCCAAACTCTGAAAGAGCGACACTTAGGTGGTGTGTGTGTGTGTGTGTGTGTGTGTATGTGTGATTACCTTATCATGTGGACCAGAGTGTTGCACTAAAACAATAGTTGTTATTTTCCAACTGGTACACCAGTATGAACGATCCGTGTGAAACTCACCTGATGACAAAGGTTCCGTGGAGCAAAAACACATATATTTTTAGTCGCGTTTATCAATCGTAATTAATGCGTTATAATCCTAACCCTATTCATAAGGTAGTAGTCTCTATATCAATTTAATTGTCCAATACAATAAAAATAAGAACCCTATATACATATATGTACACAGTTTGAAACAGAGTAGGTAGATGTGAAACTAGGGTCCTTGGTACAGGTTTTCTTTTACACGAGATCAAATGATTTAAAGGCGTACATCTCTCAGATATACAATTGACACTTGTTACCATAAATAGTCATCTTAAAGACTGATTAAACAACCATATTACATACCTTAAACATTATGTACAACATTTTACCTAAACACAAACCAGTAATTAAACATTATGTGCAACATTTTACCAAAACACAAACCATTAATTAAAATCCAGATTTTCTTATTATGTAACACTCTCATATTTATTGAGTATAGTAGTTTTGTTGTTTCTTAAAAAACCATGATTTTTATTTTGACTCTTTAATGTCTTTGTTAAGTTGATTCCTTCCAGAGACCATTCTTCCCATGACTTTAGTTCTGAATCTAGTTTTTATTAAAGATATCAGTTACAGATTGTATCGACTTTGTCTTTTTTTCCAAAGTTCTCGTAGATGTTTTGCAATTTACCTTATACAATGTAGGATAAATAGTATAATCCACTATAACATATAATTTTAACACCAAGCACTCAAAAACAGGATTTGATGAATCTCGATATATTTTCCTTCTGGTCTTTTTTAACTATAGGCTGTGTGTGTTAAACGTTGTCTCCA